CTTCCTTTTTTTTCGTCCTGTCGTTCAGGTTTCCCAACATTGTTTTGTTATTGTGGCATTTACTACTTGAAAACTATTAAATTCTTTTTAAATTTCTCCTCATGCTTTTGTTTTATCGATCATAGATTTAAAAACTTTTTTCTTTTACATTAAGATTTTATTACATTTTTTTTTTCACTTCGGTGAAATGCACTCTTTTACACGATATGGTTACACTTTTGCAATGTATATGAAGTGATGTTATGCAATAAACAGATTGGTCAACTTTTGAAGTCTCCTTAACGAGAAGTAATAGTTACCGTACGAGGAATAAGTCTGCATAGTATTTACAGACCCGGGTGGCGATTTGAAGAACGAGAGAGCGTAGCGATCGAAGTTTTTAAAAGGCCACCGGGTCTGTAAATACTATGCAGACCTATTCCGAGTGCAGTAACTATCTTACCTACATTCTCTTTTGTTTTGCTATCCATACATCATTTTTTAACTCAGTATTTATTGATATTACTCACAAGAAACATATTATTTATGTACTTTATCATGTTTAAGTCATGCAAAGATACAATCCGCTACGCTCTTGTAATTCATTCGTTCACAAATCAGGTGTTATTTGAATATTCTCGTGTTTTTCGTGGGGTTTCATTATGTAATAAGGTCAGATAATGTACTTGTTGAGTTGACAGAACTTGTCGAGTAGGCAAAGGTAAGATCATTATTTTGATATATGAATACATAATATATTTATAATATATACAAATATTGAGGAAGATAAAAAAAAGTTTTCTAGTCATAAAACGGAACACTTTATTTTTAAAATAAATTTCATGGTAAGTTAGGTTGAGTAAATAAAACGAATACCAGTTTGCACATTGTGTGTTACTTACTGTTAGTCTACCCCAGTGTTACTTGAGGTCACCTTTCGTGAGTTAAAGTCGAGATCGTTTCAGAAAACGGGCCAAAATCTCACAAGTTCTCGACTTACCTAAGTTTACTCGAAACTGACTTTATGTGCATATCACTTTCCTGAAAAGTTCCAATTTCCAATTTCAAATTTTATTGCCTGAAACATTATACAATGTTTATAGCAAACAAACAATATAAACATATATATCTGTCCAATGGATAAGACATGAGGTAAACTTAACAAACAGACAAAGAGAAGAATTTCAATAACATATTATCAAAATATGATGCTTAAACAATGCGAATTTTGTTTGCAGAAAAAATGAATTTTGCTAAGTTATATAAAGTATTTTTTGATGATAAACACATGATATTTTCAAAATTGTTCAATAATAACTTTTGAAAAAATTACTTCTAAGGGTTCTTGATTTTGGACAAACTAGTAAAAAGTGGTATTCTGTTTCAATAGATTGCATGTTGCAAGACTTACAAAGACGCTCATTTAGGGATATGTTAGTGTACCTTCCCGTTTCTATGGCTAATTTGTGTGCTGAGACTCTGAATTTAGCTAAAGCTGTTTTTAAGTAATTTTCTTTAATAGTGTCTAGATATTTTTCTCTTTTGAATTCATGTTTAAAAACTGCATATGTTTTTAATTTGCTCTAGTTGTTTATTTCAGAATACCATTTTTGGTAATAGTTATCAAATATTTTTGTGAAAGCCAAACGTATCCAACACCATGTTCATTTAAAATTTGTTTTATTTGAGATACCCAATTTCTGTTTTTATATGTTAAATTATTTTGATCATCTAGTTTCAAATTATTTTTATACTTTCTTTACGATATTATCATTGTCTAGAGTTTTTAGCTTATTCCAATACTTAATCATATTATATTTTCGCTTAACAAGCATTGGAACCCGACCGAGTTCTCCATAGAGGACTGTTAAATTTGTTGACTTCTTTACTCCATATATATTTCTTAAAAATCTGGTGTGTACAAGTTCAATATCTGATGCTGAATGCAACCCCAAACCTCAGAGCAGTAATTTAAGATAGATCCCACTAATATATCGAAAGGTTTAATTTTTTGCGATGTTGGTAATACTGTTCTGTCAAATATTTGGAAAAACGTATGTAATGAGAACGAGGCATGCTGCGCTATAAGTTTTTGTGACCTTTGAAATCTACCATTACTGAATAAATGTACGCCTAGATATTTAAAAGATTTAACAAGTTTGATTGTAGCATTATAAATTTTAATGTCCATATGAGTTGATCTGCCATTTTCAAATATAAAAGCTTTTGATTTTTCAACATTTAACTCGAGATCCCATATATTGCAACATGTTTCGACGTCATTGACCATAAGTTGAAGGTTTTCTTTACATTTACTAAAAAGAACCATATCGTCTGCATACATTAATAGAAATAGATGCATATCATCAAGGCATATAGTTCCCGACATATCACTATTTATTTTATTTATCAAATCATTTTCAAAAAACATGGCCAGCAAAGGTGGACCTGTGTCTCCCTGCTTTACTCCAGACGTATAATCAAAGAAGGGGGACAATTCCGAGTTAAATCGAACACAAGACTTAACAGAGTTGTACATGGCACGCAGTGCTAAGACAAACTTGGCACTCATATTTTCATTTAACAGTTTATGCCAGAGGTATTTGTGTTCAATCTATCAAAAAAATGCTTGTCATGTATGAATACGCAATAAAGTTTTTCTTTTTCATTCATTGTTTTGCTTGATTGAGTTTAAGATAAAAATGCAATCCGATATCGATTTTCCTTTTTGAAATCCAAATTGTGTTTGTGTAAGTTTATTATGTTAAGTAGCCCAGTTTGTAAGTCTATTTAAAAGTATCTGAGAATATATTTTTTAAATTATGTTTTTTAATGTTATTCCTCTGTAGTTGAGGCCTGTCTTGACCGTTAGGCGATTATATGGGATTTACTCAATGAGGATGAGTGAAAGTATCGATTCTGAATACGGGAAATGGCCAATTTTTTAAGCGCATGTGTAAGGAAAGAGAAAACGTTTACTAAGAGTCTGACTCCATTCAATTCAATAAATTTATTGCATTAAACATTTTACAATGCTTATAGCACATACACATATATACATTGGCAGATGAAAACATTATCCAAACAGAGAAAGAAGCAACAAATACCATGTTGAGTCAGTTCTTTTCTTTTTCTAGTTATAAAGAAACAAGGAATTCATCTGCAAAGAAAATGAATTTTGCTAGTTTGGCAATAGACTTTTTGATTTAGAATTCATGATATAAGTTCGAACTTATTTATTGTTGGCTATCAGCAAAAATACGGTTTGAGATATTTTTTCGATTAACAAGTTGTGGGAGGAAGTTCTAAATTTTGAGAGGGCTATTTTGTATGTTGGCTCTAAAGAACAATTTCAATATGGTTCGATTTTTAAACTATGTTTGCAGTAAGACTCCAAAACGCGTGGAATTGTTTATATCGCTACACCAGCTTTGTAAGTATGCGTCAAAGATACGCTGTATCAATCATTTGGAATGGAATATCAACAAGATCTTGTTGTTCCAAATGTAATTTAATCCATGTGTTTCCAGGATACTTTTAACATGGCCAGCCCAATTTTTAAATTATCTCAAACACAGAAAAAACAAAGATGAAATAGATATAGATTTAATTAGAGCTTAGACACACACATATATAATATATATATATATATATCAAATGAATACTAAAGTGATGTCTGAATAAACAATGCAATATACTATAGGTAAGACAAATCATCAACTTGAACAGATATAATTATGACTTATTTCAGACCAATGGAAATATAGAATTAAATGAACACAGATCAAAAATCGCACATAACAGAAAAGAACATTAAATAAAAGTCGAACTAACTTTAATTAAACAAAAATTAAACAAAGATAAGAAAGACTAACTGACTTTATAAAAATAAGCAAACAAAAAGTAAAATGGGTTGGGAGGGAGAGGCGAAAAAAGATCTGTATCAACCGATATGTGTCTAAGAACTGTAAAGACCCCGAAAAAATGACTGAATTTATAACAACGCGTAGGAATACAACTAAATCAGTGACCCGAAAAAAACAACAAATACCTAAAGAATGACCCAACAGGTTAACCAATAAAAATTTCTGTATTGTATCGGTAATTAATAGATTTTAGATAAATCGAAAATACTCTACGTATATGTTAGTGTTCATTCGTGCTGTTCTACGGAAATTAGAAACTTCGACTTGAAATCTGTTTTCGATCAATTGAAGTTTGAGCCATTTACTTCCATAATCGGGTAATCGAAAACTTTACGTTGTCAATTCACTTTTTAAAATTAAAAAAATGTCTGAAATAATGATAACCGGTTTATTATAAATAATACATGACTTTAATTAATAACAAATAAGCAAACTGACCAGAATCATTGCAAGTTAAAGTCAAGGTCTCCGTAACACAAATCTCTTGAACAAAATATAATTTATTTGTCTCTTAACAAAAAAAATGTGATAAATGTGATCTAAAGATGACATATAGTAATATAATGATATAATGTTACAGTAACAATTAAGCAAAAGTATAAAATATCAACTTACTGAAAAAGGCTTTCTTATCCCAAACACTTTAAAAAATAAAATATCAATGTAACATCGAAAAGTTGGCTTATTAAGTGACTTGATGCATAATGTGAGAGGACGTACCTGATTAGCATTGCCCTTGAAATTATACATTTTCGTAAGTTGTGACCAATCAAAGTTATCGATACTTGTTTTAGACGCGGTTTTAATTATTTTTCGATAAAGGATAGGGTCTTGCGAGGATTTTGATAAATATTATATACATGTAAGCAAGAGTTTGGCATATAACAATTATAGCTCCCGTCTAAAAGGCGTCGACGGTGTAAAAACTTGAGAAAAATTAAATGAAATTGCATTTATTTCACTGAAGCTAAGAACAAGTTGATCTGGCCTTGTCTCCTACAGCATGTCAGTTATAAGATGAATACACATATTTGATCAATATATAAAAAGTTTATATTTAACACGATGTTTATAGATTTGTTGCTTTATTTACAGACAAACTAACACTTTGCTGTGTTATATAAAGAGCTGATACAAAACTTAAACGTTTGAGTAACATCATGAGCACGTCTGGTGGTCGTGGGCGAAATAAAGGCGTTAATTCAGGCAGAAGTCCAGCACCGTCCAAGGCAAAGGTATTTGTTTTTCTTATAATACTCTTATCATGATTTGCTGAATAATTTCAAATAAAGCCTGTCGAGTACTATCCTGGACGGCTTTTACCTTTTAGAGTATCAGTGTCAGTGTCATTTTTTGGTGTATGATTACAACCTGATGCAGTGAAACGGCGGGAACGAGAATGCATATAATTATTAGATATTGACAAAAGCGAGATTATATCTAGAAAAATAGAGAAAATAAGAACCCCTAAAGAAAGCCCTACACGGCAAAACTGAAAATGTTGCAGGCTCGGTTTGATTGAGCCTGTTCATGGACGGCACTGTCAATTGCAAACTACCATCCACGCCCTCTAAGCAGAATTCAACTTTTAACAGGTGTGTTTTAAGCAAAGCCAATTTTTTTTGGTAATAAATTAATTCAAAATATGAAAACATATTTATTGTGTCGCCTCTACGGAGTAGTGGCGACATATAGGGATCACTTCTCCGTCGTCTGTCTGTCCATCTGTCCGTCTGTCTGGTCTGTCTGTCTGTCTGTCTGTCTGTCCGTCCGTCACAAAACTTGTCCGGACTACTCCTCATAAACTACTGGTGCAATTTCATCCAAACTTTACAGGAATGATCAGTACCAAGCCTAGTTGTGCATATTGTCAGCATTTTCCGGTTCAATGATTTTTGTCAGAGTTATGGCCCTTTAATAATTTTTTTTATTTTAAAGTTTGTCCGGACTACTCCTCTTATACCACTAATGCAATTTCAATGAAACTTTACCGGATTGATTTGTAGCTCAAGTCCTTGCGCACATTGCACGGGTTTTCCGGTTGAATGATTTTTGGCCGAGTTATGGCCCTTTGATAAAAAGGTTTCTTTTTCTGTGTGTTGCCAGATACACAAAAGCTTGTCCGGACTACTCCTCATAAACTACTGGTGCAATTTCATCCAAACTTTACAGGAATGATCAGTACCAAGTCTAGTCGTGCATATTGTCAGCATTTTCCGGTTCAATGATTTTTGTTTGAGTTATGTCCTTTTAATAATTTTTATTTTTAAAGTTTGTCCGGACTAGTTCTCTTATACCACTATTGCAATTTCAATGAAAAACTTTACAGGATTGATCTGTAGCTCAAGTCCTTGCGCATATTGCACGGGTTTTCCGGTTGAATGATTTTTGGCCGAGTTATGGCCCTTTGATAAAAAGGTGTTTTTTTTAATGTGTTGCCAGATACACAAAAGCTTGTCCGGACTACTCCTCATAAACTACTGGTGCAATTTCATCCAAACTTTACAGGAATGATCAGTACCAAGTCTAGTTGTGCACTGTCCGTCTGTCTGTCCGTCTGTCACAAAATTTGTCCCAACATGAAAGTGGCCATCATGAGGCGACACATGTAATTACTGATCGCTCTTGTTTTCACCTTTTAGTGGGTACCTTCACATTCATTTTATATGTTCATGAAGATAAGATTGTCATTCCAAAAGAGACAATCTGCTTATTACGTCATAAATACAATTCAGTCTGCATAATATGTTTTGAATTTGAATCATGTATACGTATCTGATTGTAATTCATCTACTCAGTTTAAATACTTGATTAAAGTGAACACTATACTGACCCAATAAATAAACAAACGACCAGACCACTCTTTTGGGGAAAACAATAACCCATAGTTTTCCTGATCCTTATCGTGTGTCTCTATCTGAAATAATAAATTCTCCTCTACCTATTTTGATTTAATAGATAGTCTGAAATCTTTGTATTAGTAATAATTAATTAATAATTCAGTATTACTGTTGGTGCGACGTATCCCCCCCCCCCCCCGAGAAAAAAAATAAATAACAAAAAAATACGCATATCCTTTTGAAAAATCTTCTAGATCATACTTACCAAGTTCAAAACAGACGACTGGTTTACAAGACGTTTCTTTCGTTTTGAAATATTGAATATGTCTTATTGTTGCTTTGCATTACTTCTGTAAGTGCATTAATTCTGACTGAGCTTCTGGCTTCATTTGTTTTACTATTGAAGTATCTTTACATTTTTGAAGTGTTTTAGCCATTGTTCTATGATTAGCGCCACTTCCTATGATGTAACGACCTTGAAAATCACGTTCAGTGCGTATCGATCCTTTATCTCTTTCAATATTGATACAATTTTTCTTTTTCTGTGTCTAAAATGTAAACATCCACATTTCTTTGCTTTTTATAATCGTATGCTTCTATGTAGCTCAGTGTTACACTGAAAACCAATGCAAGCAATCCTTCTAACAACGGTTTTCCTCATGTTGACTGTTATCCTGCATAGGATCCTCGTTATTGTTGTCATGATCTTGCCATACGGTATTGAAAAGCTCCCTTTGCAACGTCATGTAATTGTCAAATAGAGTCTTTGTACTGCATACTTTGTTCACGTCTGATGAAGACTTTGTTGCTATATAATCTTTTTGCGGCTCGCAAACGTCTAAAAAACATTGACCTTACTTTTGTCTCGATTTCTTTCTTAATTGATGAAATTCGTGATAGGCGGCACGATTATAGGCCTCTTGAAATGTATGGCCTTCGTGTATATAATTCAGTACTGTACATACATGATCTTTTAAGTGGTTCTATAAACCCATATGTCTTCCTTCAGCTCCTCGCTTCCATTCTTGCTTGGAGGTTCCAGAAATAGAGGTATTTCCTTCCTTTCCTTTTCTCGTCCTAAGTATAGTCAAACCTGTCAATAAAAGCCAACAAAGGGGAATGTAAAAGTGACCTCTGTTCACAGTTGCCTTTGTTTGGGAATAATACATGTGTAATTATGTTTGATGAGTATTTTTTTATTTTTCACAAATACATGTATTATTTTAAATCGTGTTTATTAAGACTTTTCAGTTATTAGTATAGAACACAAAAATTCCATACAAAAAAATCTAATAAAATTAAGCTTACTACTTCATAATGACATTCCAAGAATAATTTTGATCTTTATTATCATATATACATACACCTATAACTGATAAAATAAAAACAGTGTCTCAGTTTAAGATAACCGACCCAAAATAAAAGAAGACTTATTGAGCATTGACAGATGGCTAAATGTAACATTGAAATACAATAGCGGTCGAAGAAAATGTTGCTGGGTTTTCTGAAAACTACGCCATAATTTATTACAATGTTTCAAGAAAAATCCTCGTCTTAAACGTACTTTTCATTTGAATGTATGTTTGAATTATGTTCTTTGGCGAACTGAGGAAAATAAACGTTTGAGATTAACTGAGGCATGTTCACTTTTAAGAACATTCCTAATAATCGGCTATCATTATAAGTGTCGTTACAATTGTTACCCCCATTTGTTATTGAATTCAAACGAGCAAGTGTATTTATTTTTTTAAGGTTACACGGTTCCCTGATTTTTTACTCGCAGGGTTAAACAAAAGCGGTATAATGATGGCAAAAAGAAACATTTTACTTACACACCTTGTTTGATGCAAAAAGGGCCTTACCGTTGGTTGGTTCAAAAAGGCCCCAGGGAAACTATTTAGTAATCCCGGGCAGGGGCGACGTGACCCATTGGGCCCCTTTTTTTAAAAGTTTTCATTGGGGAAAAAACATGACCCTTGTTGGCAGTGATGTCCGGAAGTGACCCTTAAATGTAATGTAAAAAAATTTCCCTCATATTGGATTAGCCCCTGATCAAAAAATTAAATCAATCCCTTTTTTAAAAAATTTATGCCCCGATTGTGATGGATTGTGCTGCAGCTGTGATGATATTTATTAAAAGTGATTTTGTGATTTTGATGATGATGACTATCAATATTATTATTATTTTACTAGAATTATTAGGAATTAATTATTATTATTAGGTGAGAATGATTTTTTGAGACATTATTATATTGAGAGTTTAATCCGTCAATATGACGTTTTCAAACCTTGATTCATATAATTTGTTTGGTTTGCATAAGAGCAATAATTTTTATTTATTTTTATATTTATGGGGGGGGGGGGAGATGGGCATATAGGACCAAATGAAATAATTTAAATAAAATGTAATGTCTCTACAGCCTGACCCAACCCCTCACGGATACTTTGTCATGCTACATTACTGTTCTTAATATGAAAAATAATTGCAGTGGGCAGTTTATATAATCGTTTGTTTGTTTGTTTGTTTCATTTTACGCCTTTTCCAACAGTATTGCAGTCATATATGTGGGTAGTTTCCTAACCATCGTTCCTGGAGAGTTACACCAGTACTAGACAACCTTCCTGCGCTAAACTACCAAAGCAACTCCCGGGGATCGAACCCACGCTAGAGAGGTAACTGGATTAGAAGTCATTGACTCCAACCCTTCGACCACGGAGGCGGTTTATATAATCGATTGTACGCGTTTGAAACAGGCATAAATTTGTGGTTTACAAATGTATATTAGTACAGTCATGTCTTTCCATGAAACTGAATATTTATACATGAATATACGTAATTGCAAAAGGAAGTATTCACTTGGTTACTTGTAAGTTACGTATAATACATACATCAGCTAAATAGAGGCAAAATTTGTATGAAAGGTTTCAGAAATGTAGTGTATTGAAATGTGAAAGTGATAAAAGTTTTGTTTCGTTTAAGAAGCGAAAGGGTATAAAATGTAAGGGGCGCAAAACTGTGCTTTTTAACGCTGCACACTTCCTTTTGAAACTTAATACAAAAATGTAAATGTTGTTGTTGTTGTCGTCGTCGTCGTCGTCGTCATTTTGATGACTTAAAATGACATCGAACTATATTGTTAAGGTTTGCATGTAGTGCAGTTATTTTGCCCGTGTAATTAATATATTACACGTGAATAAAGTACAATTCTTGTAGCGTATGTATATACATGCTTGGTTTGAACGTATATAATAGTATTTAATTCATAATATCCACATTTATTGTTTTTAACTTTAATTAAAATAATTAGTTTAACTCTTTTATGTTTTATCGGCCTATTTGCAGGTATCTCGTGAAAGAGGCATCCCACCAGATAGCAAGTAGGTATTTTATGCCCACTTTTTTATTTCTCTGAATATAGTCGAGTAAACAACGGTATTTATATCGAGACTAATTTTGATTACAGATGAATGATATCAATGTTTAGTAACGATACAAAAGTTATCATAAGATATGGACATTTTCTGAGTTACCACAAAAACTCCGTGACAATTGAAAAAACGGATATAATTTTTTAAGGCTGGGCTTTTATGTTTGCAACTCTCCAATATAATTAGGTCATTAAGTATAGCAACAAACACAATTGCAAATTGAAAGGCCAGTATGTACGATTGAGCAAGTTATTTGGAAATTTTACTCAAAACTTCCCGATTTTTTTTAAAGGCGAAGAAAACAATATGCAGGAAAAGCTTAATTATCAAAGTTAAATTTAGCATGTCAAACTCCCCCCCCCCCCCCATTTAAAGGTAAAAATGAGTATTTTTCACATGAGTTCTCCAAGTATTGAGAAAAGTTTCCACAGAAATCCGTAACGTTTTCCATGAACTCCGTGATAGTTATAAGAACTCCAAACAAGTTATCATAAGAACTCAATCCTTCGTGTAACAGTTCCTCCCCCGTGGGTTTACGCGCCTAATTTTTAATTGATCTTCAGAAGTGTGGAAAAGAACTATCAACGTTCATATCTTCTTGTCCTATCAAGTTAAATTTCAGATACTTACTCGTAAGTTCTGTTTAACCATGCCTTTTCCTACACATTGTAAGTTCTATATTGCCGTGCATCCTCCTTCATATTATTTGACGCTGCTTTAGCAAGTTATAAATTTTGTCAAACATTAACGAAAACACCTCTTACAAGTACGTCCATGATCCCGATTACTCCTGCATAAAGAAACGAAAAGCATACAAGAAAACGAACTTATCTTATATTATCAGTTATTTATCTGAAATGGATACAAAGTTTTAATTTTCATGTATATTACATGTTGATGACGTATTTATATAACCGCTAACGATTGAATGGCGTGTTTATAGTAAATGTTGGTCAAAGTATTTTAGATTTCGGTTCTATTTTGCATTTTTGGTTTCTTTTGTTCTTTCCAAAGGTGTTGCAAATCTGTTGATTCGGGTATTTCGTATCAACAACACGTTGTCATTTATATACTTTCTATTAGAATTTCGATTTGAATAAACTTCAATTTCACTAATGGTTTTTCTTTGAGCTAAAACGACATTCACAATAACAGAAATAAAATAAATACATGACGGGACGAAAACAATTAAGTACGAAAATGATTGTTTTGTTTGTAGTTCTTATTACTTCCTCTTTACTTGTAAAAATATTTACTTCAGACTAAACATATTGTTTCTATTGATAATACTTTGTATGTGTCAACATATGCATATGATTTTAATATTTCAAAAATGTACAGGTAAATTCAATAATAGGCTCAATATCATAATCGTTGTGATTCTATTTCCATGTATTCACAAATAAACCAGTGTTAGTTCGGCCGAGTATCTTTATTAAAGATACTTCTTGTTTGACTGCAGATGGGGGCTAGCGGCGATCAGAAACCAAAACATATTGTGGTCGTCGTCTTTAACGATGTGTCGTTGTAGTGGCAGTTCTAGTTGTCATTATCATAGTCAGTCGAAGCCATCGTACCAGATGTAGTTATCGCCGTAGTCGTAGCAGACGTCGTCGTAAAAAAACGTTGCCGTAGCAGTCGTGGTTGTAGACGTTGTCATATATATGCATTCGTTGTATTCGAACTCATAGTTTACAAGTCGACTTGTAAGTTGTAGCTATACTAGAAATCATAGAAGTCTAGAGTACTTGTTTTCAATGTTTCTTGGATGTCGACCTATGATCGTAAAATCGTAAAGGTCGTAATCGTCTGTGGAGTCGTGGCCGTATTTGTCGATATAGTTATTTCATGAGTAGTCGTGGTCATTTTCATGGTCGTAAGTGTCTGTGTGGTCTTTTAAGTCGTTTTCGAGGTCGGCCCTAGCATTCGTAGATAAATACTTGTACATTGTAATAATAAAAGACGTAGAAGTCGTAGTCATAGTCCTGGTCTTAGTTACCTGCGTCGTCTTGAAATACGTATAAATACGTATTTCAAGACGACGCAGGTAACTAAGACCACGACTATGAAATTTATGTTCGAAAATGTAGTCTTAGCTTTACTCATAGTAGTAGACATCGTAGTTTTGGCATTCGACATAGATGTTCTCGTAGTAATTAGTCGTATTCATGTTAATCGTATTTGTTGTAGCGGTACATTAAGTCGTAGAACTCGTCGTCGTAGTTATGGCCGTAGTCGTCGGAGTTTAAGTCTTACTGTAGTCATAACAAGCTTCCATATAGATAAACTTGTTAGAAGTTTTAGTTGTCGTAGTCGTTGTCGTAGTCATAGCTGTATTCGTCATGAAAGTTGTAGACATCATAACTGTGGTCGAAGTCATCGTGGTCATTGTCGAAGCCAAAATTGTATTTCTTAATATTGTCGTCATGGCCGTATTCATAGTTGCTATATACATGTATATACGGTTTAATGCATCAAATCATCAAAATCTTCATAACCATCATAACAAAATCATAATTTTATCCACCCAATCATCATCATTATTATATTATGTGACTATTATCATTATATACTAGTACCTAATAAAATATTCTGGGTTCTATGTCCGTTATACTGTGCGTTTATTGTAAGTGTATCTCATTTTGTTCCAAAGTGTTTGGTGTATTTCACTTGCAAAAAAATCAAATAAATATGTTTAACATCACTGTCTTAAAGATAAAGCCCTATTATTAGAAAAGAATGTTTTTCATAGTTCTGAGTTGATTATGATGACGAAGGTGATGATGATGATGATGACGATGATGATGATGATGATGATGATAATAATAATAATGATTATAGTAATGTTATGATGATGATGATTATAATGATGATGATAAATTCTGCTCTTAAGTTTGTAAATTTTATTGTGTATATCATTTTGTTAGAAATAATGTCAAAAAAGTTTTTCTAATGAACAAGGCTGACATCTTGTGGTGCTTCTCATTCAGATCTGTTTATTACCCCTCACTTTTTGTAATGTTAATTTCCCATAGGCCTCTGGGAGTTATTCTTACTGTTAATGCAAGTGTACCACATGACTAAGAATTTTGTACTATTACATAGGTAACAGTACTTTTTAACAGCGATTACAAGATAAATTTTCTTGCTTGTAAATTAGATAAAATTTCATATTCATTTAAACAAAAAAGTGATCTTTTAACTAACAAATGTATATCAATGTATTCCAAAGAAATAAAAGTAAGTTAATTCATGTAATTCTTTTCCCCTTTAACTTTGAGAAAAATATATGCCTTTAACATCATATTGTATTATTACCCCTCACTTTTCTCGTAATGCTAATTTCCCATAGGCCTCCGGGAGTTATTTTTACTGTTAATGCAAGTGTACCACGTGACTAAGAATTTTGTACTGTTACATAGGTAACAGTATTTTTAACAGTATAAAATTTGGTCACGTGGTCTATTTTTTAAATAAAATGAAATAAAATGGCCGCCATTTTTTTCTCGATTCATTCCTATTTTCGACGTTCACCACGATAGGACATCACCAGAGTAACTATGACACCCATAAAATTTAGTTGTTTGCACCCTGGAGTGCTTTTCGCGTATAAAATATCTTTTTGTTGACTAGTCAAAAAGTAAACATCCGTTTTCAATGGAATTAATTGCAATGTGAATATTTATGTGTCAAACAGGAACATGCAGACGATTAAAATATACAACAAAGGATTATTTAACATTTTAATCAAAGAAACGTTATAGATACATTGTATGGTGGACAGACATAGGATATCATCGTTATTTTGTCAAAAAATTGGGAATGATATTCTGGATACAGATGGATCAAGTTTCACAGATCATAACCGTATAAATGGGTTAGTGTTTTGTTTTCTGAATAAAACACAGCTTATTGTACTTGTTTTGTCAGAATTGAATGCATAGACCCGATGCAGAAATTAAACATGTCGGACATCTCGCAAAACTGTAATAATGCCTGAACTTCTGTAGATCTTTTGCAATTGAAGTTACAAACGTCCCAACAATTTGCCGCTAAACTGTTCGTCGCCCTTTCTGTCTGTGAGCATGTATTTGCCGTATTTGAATCGCTTGCGCGACCTGAAACCAAGAGACTTGCTCGACAACTCATTGTTTTTCGTTAATTTAATCACCTTATAAAAATATAAAGGTGTATACCACATTTATTGGTAAAAATTTCCGAAAGAGCGAATTTCTAGTTTTTAAACGGGGTTTATACTTCCCAACTTACCCGTCTGTTTACTGCTGCTCAAAACTTGTTTGTTCAGCTATTCAACGTCCAAACGACGTCAAAAGTCAGATTTATGTCATTTAAATATTAATAGATGATTACTTGTATTTAACTTCATAAAACAATCATTTTATTTGTTTCAACATTTGTTTATATTTAAACATTATATGAAAATTTCGGCGTGCGCCGATGTTGCGTTGCCATGGTTATTAAAGTGCACATAACTCGTAAAGGAAATAAAAGTTAACAATAAAAGAAAATCTTACTTTTGAAAATAAAGACACTCTTTCGATTCATATCCACTAAGGGTGTTTTCATGAACCAAGTAAAAAATGACAGCAAAAATCCACGAACTTTTTGAACATACCTCGTATGTTATGACTAGTAGACAGAGCTGCATCAGTACTAAGGGTGTAGTACTTATGTACCAGTACCAGTACTTGCCAAGTTATGCAGTATCATTACCAGTACCAGTACTAGATTTTAGCTTGGTACTGCAGTACCAGTACTTTTTGGGGGAAGTACCATTACTTTTATGTATTCATCAAAGTTGGAATAAATGCACAGTGTCAAACAAAAACAACATATGTATAGTTTCAATTAAAAAAATGCAAGCATTATTCAGGAAAAAATATTATTTTCTTTAAAGTTAACATTACATTTTTATAACTTTTATGATT